AATATAGTCTAAATTTTCAAGGTGCTCCAAAATCAGCTCCCAGCTTATCTCTTCTACCCTAGCCTTCTACTTCTCTTTATACAACCTGCTTGACAGCTAATCTAGACTTGGTCTTAGCCACACCTGACTTACCTACTTTCTTGCCTTTAGGTTTAACCTATCTCATTCAAAATCTTTCCCATTCTCCCAGGCTCAGTTCAAATACCAATACTCCCCCCAATTTTCCCCTCATCCTATTCACTGAAACAATTTCCTCCCATGAATGTTGGATTTTTTTTCTTACAGTAATTACTTTTGTATATCTTATCCATGACTTACTTACCAAAGATGGGTCAAATAAATATTTGTTAATCACACCAATGGAAATGTAACAGCTATTATTGCAGATTCACTTATTCTCAGATTTATGCTTTGTATTAGGATTAGGCAATAGATGTGTAACAGAGTATGACATATAAACATATTAATCCATAATATTGGTGAAATCTTAGCCCCTGAAAAAGTCAAACAATATTTTGAATGAAAGTAGAAAAGAAGCAAAATTGAATTGCTTTATAGTGTCACCCTCTGTTTAATCGAATTTAGGCATACTAGCCTGTCTTAAGCCCTTTCCATGACGATGTATCTGAAATGTAGTATATATCTAGCCCCTGCTACTCTTGCCCCACACCAGGCCAACATCATATCTTGACAATAAACATTTTCCTTTCAGGTGTCTTTGATTCCAATTGTAGCCATCAGTCACAGGCTGTCAAAATGAACTTCATAATAGGCAGATAAGAGTATGTCAATCCATTGCTTGGAAATCTCTGATGACTCATAAAGTAAACTTCTGAGGGTCAACAAGTGAAATTCAAATCCCTTAAGGAGTTGTTCAGTGATTTCAATGCACCTTCCAGCTCCATCTTTCCTTACCTCGACCACAAGCCTGGTGACCAGTGTCACGGCTACCTCCTCCGCTCACCTTGGCAATGCCATTTTGTGTTCCATCTATGGACTGGCACATTCCATCTCCCTTTCTACCCATTGAAGGACTCCTACAGTTCTAGAGTTTGTCTCTAGAGTCTGCTCCAGTGCACCATTCTCTGCTGTCTTCTCTGATGCTATCAGCCAGAATGTATTGCATTTCACTGTATCTAGGTTTAAGTGAAAAGTTTGTATTTCCTGCCCTATCAGGTAAAACAGACCACATCACCATTATATTTGTATCTCTTTGCGTCAATAGTGTGTTCCCATATCTCTTTCCACGCAGTGTTTGCTCATCTTTTGGGTCAATAATATATTTTAGTACTAAATAAAGTATACTCTTATGATAAATAAATGAATAAATAACTTCAGAAAGCACTGATTACTATCTCATAATGTATTCATGTTTGATGAAACATTGAATGGTAGGCAAATTTAAATGAATTATTTCTATGTCATTGTTTTCATGCATAATATATATTGATTAATGAGGGAAAAAGAGTGATTTTTAAGAGAAAGCTTTAACTTTTAATTTTCCTTGAATTTAGGACAATCTGAAATTGAGTGGTCTCTGTATTGGTAAGTATAATAATACATTTAGTGTTGGTAGTTTTATTTAAGTTTGGAAATTCAGGTGGAGCAAAATACTTATGGAGTAAATGATTACCTCACTCTCCATGGTAATAATTTACCTTTCAGAAAACGTTACAAAAAACCCTTCATTTTTTTTATTAACCTTTTTCTTTTAAAACAAGCTGCTTTTGTGAAGAAAGAAAGTAGGTTTGAATTTAACTTTGCTGGTTGTCTGGACTGTAAAAGTGAAAGTATAAACCAAACCACTAAATGAAAAGAAACAGGGGGTCTCTTTCATTTGGAAGAGAGATTGTAAAACACTGCTCACTCCAGACATTTATTTCTTTTTATATTTTATGCATTTAAGGGTGGCTGTTGCAAATATAGTACTTTAAATACTCAACTGTTAAATATTTGTCCCTTTCCAAAGGCTAAGCATCTAAATTGTGAAACGGGCGACTCCTCAGCGATTCCTTCTCAAGATGCAAAGGCTCAGAGTGTTTTACATATAAACCCTCACTTAGTTTTCCAAGTGTTCAGGGAAGCATTCCAGCACATTTCATGTCAGATTTCTATAAAGGGTGATTGAACTTTGTCTATTGGGTGTGGATAGAACAGCACTCTCTGATGACACTGAAGGTGAGGGCGGGGGTGGTGGTGATCATAGTTTGATAATCCTGGAAATTCTGCATTATGGCATTTAGCAACATGGAAATGTGCTCAACTTATAAATAGGAACACAAAATAAAGAGCAATGAAAACAAGTTCTCTAGACAGGGGTACTCTGGACTGAAAGTCGCTGTTTTCTCAGTGTCCATTAGTTTGTAATCATCAGCTCTGTCTTTTCAGTGTTAGAGATTTGGGGCTTTTCCTCCTTGGTAAACACTAGGATCTGTCCCTTTAATTGATTTTCTTCCCTTCTGAGCTTGGCAGCCAGTTGGAGGTAAGCACAGCTGCGTGACTGCTGAGCAGGCTTCCAGATGCTTTTGGATGGAGAAAGAAGCTCTTTTATCCTGTAAGCTCCAGCTGAATCAGGAGGCCAGAGGTCAGGACTACCTGTATACATTTTCTTTAACTTCGTCAGCCAGCTTTGCTGACAGAATGTTATGGCTCCACATGTCTAAATTCAAGAGAGACTTATTTAGAAAGGGATTCCTAGTGAAATTCAGGATGTTGAAAGTATCCTAAAGCTCTATAAATGAAATAAATGTTTTAAAAAAGTGTTACTTTGCATATCTCTATCCCGTAGAACTTTTTTTTTTTTTTTTTTTTTGAGATGGAGGTCTCGCGATATAGCTCAAATGGGCCTTGAACTCACAGCAATCCTCCTGCCTCTGCCTCCCAAGGGCTGAGATTACAGGCATGCATGTTTGTGCCCAGCTGAGGAACTGAATTTTAAATTTTATTATATTTAAATTGTCACATGATTATTGATGTTATTTGATCAATCAGCTTCATAATAAGTAATAACGTGATTGACATGTGATGATACAACTGTTCAATAAATGATACGTCGTTATCTATTTTTCTCGTATTTAGTAACTGTCATGTATCTCCTTGTTGATAGAAACTATTGCAACAGGGCTGGGGATTTAGCTCAGACATTCTGCCTCCTGCCTTGCAAATACAAGGACCTGAGTTTGATCCCCAGGACAAAAAACAAAAAACAAAAAAACAAGAAAACTAACTCCCCCCAAAAAACCCAAAAAACTAAAACAATTGCAAAAACAGTGAATAAAAATGATCCATGTGATAATGGCTAAAAGAATTATTCATGTAAATTATAGTGCCACATATAGTGAAATTGCCAGTAACACTTTTATTCTTCTAGAGAGTCAGTGTATATATCATAGAAAAGCCAAAGGATCTGGAGGCAGAAAAAATTAGGTTTGAATTTGAGTCTACTGTTGAGTCTACCTTAAATAATTAAAATGTCTGCTGGATTTATTTCCTTCTTTTTTAAAGGCTAGTTTACTTTCCATTTTCTCTTCTTCTCTGCATCGGTTAGCTATTATCCTATCTTTTAGCTATAACAAATCACCCTCAAACTTATTGGCTTCAAACAACCAACATTTCTTCTGATTCACGAACCTGGGTTTGGCCACCTGTAAGCATTTTGCAGATTTATGCTGGCTCAACTGGTGTTGGCACAATGTTGCAAGTTAATCCAGGTCTGCTCCTTGGCTTTTCCATGTTTGTGGTAACTCTGGGCCCTCACAGGCTTGCAATTTTTATTATGAAAGTACAAGTGTAAAAGGGCAAACCAAATTACCAAGGCACATTTCAAATCTCTGTTCATTTCTTGCCTGCTCATAGATCATTGGATAAATCAGGTCACATGGCAAAGCCTAGAATCAAAGGAGTAAAGTCTCACAGAATTATCTTAGCTTTACTTGAGATCTTCAAAAAGCAGCTCTAAAAAAATAAAATATATTAAGTGAATAAAATAATTTTAATAATTTAAACAATATTCTCCCCTTAACACTTAGCAGCTTAGAAATATACCAAACTTTAAAAAACATATATTTTTTTCCTCATGAGTTTATTGGTACATTCTAGGTATATAGTAGAGTTACATTCATTACTGGGATCTTGTATCTTTATAGAGTTTATTGACATTCTAGGTATATAGTAGAGTTACATTCATTACTGGGATCTTGTATCTTTATATGACTGGTCTTGGTTCTCATTTTTTCCCCATGTCCCTGCCCTCCCTTCACTTGCTCCTCCCCTCCCCCTTTACAAACACTTCATTTCCTTTTTTTTTTTCATTTTCTCGTATTTTTTCTTTTCCCTTATTACCTTTCCCCTACCCTTCCCACTTTCCCTACACCTTTAGCCCTTCCTCCTATTTCACATTGTCCATTATATCATTAGGATCTTATGTACTATTATAGTTTATTCACACCAGAGAAACTATTTGGTCTTTACACATGTGTGACTTATTTATTTCACTTAGGAGTATATCCTCAATATGTATCCATTTTCCTATGAATGAATCTAATTTCTCATTCTTTATGGCTGAGTAATATCCCATTTTATAGAAAAACCACATCTTTATCCAGTTTCCAACTGATGGGCAAATGGGCTGTTTCCAAGTAAAACATATTTCTTTAACCAACCCTAGATAATGGCATTTAATTTAAACTTATAAACTCTTCCGTATGCAGTCAAATAATGTATATGCCAGTGTTAAAGGATACATTCATTACATGTTGGAGTGGATATTCTGATTCACTCTTCACTCTCCATGCTACATCTTTGAGCAGTACAGTTAGAGGAACTGGCTCCTGGTTAGAGGATGGGATAGGTTGGCCTGAGGATAATCCTAGCTCCCTTGCAAGTCCTTTGTTTAGGAATTAATGTGCAATGTGGTTTTATCCAAAGAGACCCATTTAGAGGGTTATTAGAGACTTCTAAGGATGTTTGTCTACTCTTTTTATTTCTGTTTTAGAAATTTGAAAAATATGGAACGCCTCACGAATTTGCATGTCATCCTTGCACAGGGGCCCTGCTAATCTTCTCTCTGTCGTTCCGATTTTAGTGTATGTGTTGCCAAAGCGAGCACTGTTTGTCTACTTTTGAGAGTTTTAAGAAGTCATTCTCCTCCCCGCTTTCTCTCACTAAATGTGGATGAAAAGTTGCTGCTAATAGATTTCTTACAACTGTGGGTCAAAGAAAGGCTGAACTAAGAAAATCACGAAGAAATAAGGCTGTAGTATTGGTAGAACCTTGCCCAAGCCTGTTCTACTTTGGAGTTAATCATACGATCATTAATTATTTTAATCATTTCATCCTCTTTCAGAAAGCACTAAATATTGTTCATTCTCTTCTATTTTTCATATTATTCCTTTCCTTCTTCTCTCTATATTGCTTTTGTATTCCTTCATCTAATATGATCACGAGAGCCAAGAGCATGCATAGTTCTTATCACATGAAAGGAAAGATAAAAAATAGATTTAAGCAAATTTTCAGCAATTTTAAATAAAATGTCTAAGTGAATTTATGGTTTAATAAAACCCTCTGTTTCAAACAGTTGGCAGTTCCAGAGGAAATTCAGAAAGAGGTAACTAAAATTAGGTTGGTAGACATAAAAAAGATATAAACATATCTGTGGATCACAAATGAAAGCAGAACAAAAGTGTCATTAAGGATGAATGTGCAAATTCTAACTCTGGAAGCAGGCAGTGGCATCTCAGAGTGAATGGCACCGAGACAGAGGAAATACCTAGCCAAGCTTACAGCTGGAAGCCAAGAATGGAGGTAAGCCTACCAATGCCTGAAATAAGGTTGACATGCTGACATGCTGCATACAATTGTAGCTTCATAGGACAATGTAGGCTCAGGAAGATGAGGAGATAAATTGACAAACTGAGCCAACCCTGCTGATGATTGTGTTTGTTTTGCTATTTCTCAAATCATGACTGAACAGAAAGAACACATCCTAATGTGACCTGGAGGTTGACTGGGTGTCATTCTCAACAAATTATAGCTGAGAAGAAAGAGCACAGGAAGATGAATAACATGAGAAAGGAAGCCAGGAACAGAGAAAAAACAAACAAACAAACAAATGGACAAATGGATAATTCTGCAGGAAAAAAAACAAAACAAAACAAGAAAAGAAATCTAATGTTAAAGAAAATAATCAATATTCAGAAACAGAAGAATTAATGGTATATCAAAAAAGACTAAAATGAGAATATTTACAATGTTAAAAGAAATAAATAAAAAGGTCATATTTATTTAAAAGACAAAAGTAATGAAATGAAGGAAGAGAGAAGTAAAACAGACAGGAAGATATGGACAAAATTAGAAGTGTTAGAAATAAAAATATACTAAAGGTGTAGGGATAGTGGGAAGGGTAGGGGAAAGGGAATAAGGGAAAAGAAAAAATATGAGAAAATGAAAAAAATGGAAATAAAGTGTTTGTAAATGGGGAGGGGAGGAGGGGATGAAGGGAGGGCAGGGACAAGGGGAAAAAATGAGAACCAAGACCTGTCATGCAAAAGTACAAGATCCCAGTAATGAATGTAATTGTATTGTATACCTAGAATGTACCAATAAACTCAATAAAAAGAAAAAAATAAAAATATAAAGAAAAGAAAAACTCACTTAAATAATGATATCTGCAAATGGGTAATTAATAATTTAGATGACTATGCCAATAAGATAGGTCTTGATAAATAAGCTTTAAGAAGCAAATGCAACAAATCCCTGCATTTAGAGCATAGTAAAGAAAGAAAACTATAATATTGGTCAAAACCTTAAAAAGGAAAGTAAAACAAAGAAATATAGATTAATTATGAAATATAGTTGCATGCGTACTAAAGATATCAAATTATCTTCTAGTAATTTAAAAATATTAATAACCAATTTACTTCAGGAATGTAATAATTTTAAACCAGATTTTGTATAATGTAATTTATAGTAATTTACCAAAGATAAGGTTAAGTATTATATTAAGAAATACAGACAAAGCTGATAAAAATTCTACATTCATTCATAATTTTAAAATGATAACAAAATATGAAACTCAGAGAAAAGTAGAAAAAGAAAATTTTCAGACCTGAAAAATGGACTATTAAAAATCTTGAGCAAACATCCTATATCTGTGGACTATTTGAAACATTCCATTTTGGTTAGAAGGAAAGATAAGAATGAATGTTTTCTGTAAATATGCTTCAATATTTTAATGTTTTGCTAACCAGTGCGAAAGAGAGAGAGAGGGAGAGAGAGAGAGAGAGAGAGAGAGAGAGAGAGAGAGAGAGAGAGAGAAAGGGAGGGGAGAAGAGCAAGAAGAGAAGAAAGAAAAGAAAAGAAAAAAGAAAATAATACACTAAAAAGAATAGATCCACAGCCGGGGATTTAGCTCAGTGGTGCTGCAACCTGCCTTGCAAGCATAAGGACCCGAGTTCAATCCCCAGTACCCCCCCAAAAAAGAATAGATTCAACTGTTCTTATATTAGGTAAATTAATGACCTCACAAGGGGGAAAAAAACCTCAAGACACTCTACAGATAGATGCTTAGAACTAAGAAAATTCAGAATGGTTGGATAAAGCATGAATATATAGAAATTTAATAGTGTTACTCTCCACATGTAATAATCAATTTTAATATAATTACAAATTACATATTATTCTGAATAGTGACAAATGCTACAAGGCACCTAGAAATAAATGTAAAGAAATGTAATGTATTTATGGAGAATCTGAAAAATATCAAAAGACAAAATATGTCCAAATAGATAAACCCACATTGGATGAGAAAAGTTAATATTAAAAAGGTATTAATTCCCATCTCCATAATTAATCTATGAGTTCAAGGATTTTTCCACTTTTAAAAATCTCAGGTAATTCTAAAATTATAGGGTCAAGAAAAGAGTAATTTCTGAAGAACATTAAAATAGGGAATTACGTCTACTAGTTTAATAAATAAAGCCAAACAAGTGGTTTTCTATGAAATCAGTTTCCTAAAAACAACAATGTTTAAAAATATATTGGGGTCTGGAGCAGTTTAAATAGCTAGATGGTAAAGAAAAATAATACTTTCAGAAAATTGAAAAATATTTCTGTAAGTGCAGCAGTTTTCTTTAAGTTTTTAAAAGCATAAATCTTACAGGAAGTGTTATGGCTTTTGCTATACTGAAAGTCCAAATTGTTATAAAGAAAAGACACCCAAAATAAGGCTAAAAAATACCACCACCAACAAAAACCCAATCGAATACTGGGAGAACAATTACTTTTGAGGACATATGAGAGACATGTAAGTCATTAAAAAAGAGATCAAAATAGGCTAAAGATATGAACATGCAATTCACAGACTAAGTAACTCAGCTTCTGAAACAGGCTAATCACAATAGAAATTATTTACATGCAAATTAAAACCCATCAGATTAGTTGAGGCCTAGTTTAGTAAAGAAGTGAAGCAAAAGGAATAGTTAGGGCTTGTTAAAGCCATTTTTTAGAGACATTTGTCAGTCAGCATTTAGTCAAGTTAAAGAGGATGATATATTTAAGTCATTTCAACACACATATCATGGAAACTCACACTTACACAAGGAGATATACACAATATTTTAAATGTACCTTTTAAAAATGATTATTGAACTCAGACCTTCAACATTCCCAGCCCTTTAAAAAATTTTAAATTTTGAGACGTTGTGTGAAGGCACTAAATTGCCCAGGTTAGGCTCAAACTTGCAATACTCCTGCCTCAGTTTCCTGAGTAGGTGGCATTATAGGCTATGTCCAGTTTAGCACAACATTTTATGTCACTTACAGCCTCCCAAAGGGGAAATGAGTTTTTAATTTGGTGTATTTATTCAAAAGAAGGTTTCACAGCTTTCAAAATGAATATACTAGAATGCCATGATTTAAATAACTAAAATTTAAAGCATTTTAAACAAGTATAGAACAATATATAGAATACGTCGTTCATATGAAGTTTGAGACCATGCAAAAATAAGTGCTATATTGTGCTACAGAACATTTATGCATGAAAATGTTAGTGTTTATTGGCTTTTCAGGTTACTCAGATTTAGATTAGTGGTTACCTTCAGTGAAGGAAACAGGTAAATGGCATTAGAGGACCATTACTGAGCAAGAGTTGATACATTAAAGACTGTATTTCTTAAAATTTATCAGGGGAAGGTGTACAAAAGTGTTCAGATTTGACAAAGCTGATGGGGTTTGCTTATGTTAATTCTCTGTATTTTTCTCCTGGATATGTTTCATGGAGGAGAGCAAGATTTTTTAGGTGGTGTGATGACCATGGATTTATGAATTACGTAGAAACATTGGAGTTCAGCCAGTGTTATAAACTCAGGGAGGCTGCAGGGAGAGCTACTGCTCCACTGAGTGTTTTTTTTTTTTTTGAAAGCTTCTCTCCCTTTCCACCATCTCCAACCACTTCCAGTTTAATATACACTTCTGGATTCGGAGAAGAGGAGAAGGAGAAAACCAGTATTCCCAAGCACACTCTGTTTAGAAAGTGTGTGCTTGGAATTTACTTTTCAAGATTATAGAAACAGAAGACATTTTCAGATAGTAACAGGGTAGGGTTGTGGGAGGTCATGGAGTCTGTGGTTTCCAGGTGGGAGTCCACCCAAGTAGCCGAGGGAATGCACATTCTTCCCCCTCCCAATTTTCCAGTAGCCTAGTAGGAACTGAAGAGCCACCCGGGTGAGGATTACCAAAGTTATGTAATGGCACTGAATTACATTAATGACACGTGTTATACCTGTTGGGACTTCTTATTAAGGGGCACTTACAATATGAACTCATTACATCCTAAGAATGTCTGAGGACCTTAGGGAAGAATAATAACGAACCTAATAGTTTGCATGGAAAAAGCTGAGAAATTTAGGTTTGTATCAATGTATCTGAAAAAGGAGAAGTAGGATAATTTCATGATTTACTCAGGCTTATTCAGTCAGTGATGGCCGAGTCGGACCTTCCTTCAGCCTGGCTTTCCTAGTGAGCAGGGCAGGGACTTTTTCCACTGGCGACCCCACCCCCTAGTACTGCCCGGTGGGATTGGGCTCAAACCTGCCCAGATCTGAGATGGGC